CTGCATCATAACATTGCTTTGAGGCTCAAATGAGATAGCATATATAAAGCATTTTAACAAAGCATTACATAAGTGCTAGCTATTATTTCTTTTCTTATTTTCAACAACTGTTGATTGACCAGCTCTTTAAGCAGCTTCTCCTATGCCATCCAGAAGAGCCCCATCGCAGATTATATTCTTCTAGCCTCTTCTGTTCTTCCATCCCTACCCATAGTAGGTTGTATTGGCCACCTGGCTAGGAACTCTTCACTGAGCAGGTTTTTATTTAACTGTATCAGAAAGTAGTATGCCTACATGGTTATTCACACGTACATTTTAGTTTCAATGACACTATTGCTATAACAAGGCATCATAGACAGGACAGGTTTTATAACATGAGGCTTAATATTGATACACATATAGTCTTGGCTTCTGGATATCATGATTAAGGGACCCCTTAATTGTTTGGATAGCCTCAAATTGAATGTAAACTTTGGGAGACTATTGGAAAGGCCAATTGTCTTGGGGAAAATTCAATTAAACATTCAATATATCTCAGTAACTGAGGAAGAAGTGATGAAAGGGATTGTATAAGGGCATGATCAACATTTAAGTTTGCAAATTTGTTGAGTGTATTATCCCCTGAGCATGGATGTTCTTCTCATCAATACAGAGTTCATCCCTGTTATAAAGGCTGACTACTAAGAATCCTTTTTTAGAGAGGAAAAATTGGGATAAAGTTCAGCTGGTACTATGATCACACATTTCATCATTACTCCCCCAATTCTGGGAAGCATGTGTAAGAATGGAGCTTGACTCTGGCCACTTCCAATGGGCCACATGTGCTAAACGACACGTATGAGCAATGACTTTTGGTTGATCCCTTAGTCTTTGTGATAGGACTGTACATCTAAGAGAACTGGGAGCCAAGTAGAAGATAATTTCCTGTAACTGCAATGGTTCTTAGAGGAGAGGAGTACCACTGCCAGGAAGATTCATCAACCAAAGGGCTAAAACCCAAACCACGCCCTGGTTTGCATACTTTCTGAGCATGGGTGAGACATGGTACAGAGTAGTCAGATAGTACAGATCTCAAATGGTGGCAAATTATCTGTTCAGCAGTCTCACGATCTCCTGGGAGTTTTCAACCTCCTAGGTAATTAGCCAGTGACAGGAAAGTTCAGTTCGTGTAAGAGGGCAAGATTCCATTACCCACACAGTGTTATTTTGGATCTTAACCACTAGGGGTCACTAAAGAGAGACGCAGCATATTCTCAATCCCTCCTAGACTCTGGTTAAATACCGAGAAAGTGTATGATGAAAGTTCATCTCCATGAGGTCAGGGTGTCAGCATTAAATACCTTCCTTAGCTAGCGAGAGACATTATGTCCCCACCCTGCCCTAGATCTGATTTTGTTGCTGTTTTTTCATGCTTTTGTTTCATCTTTTCAGCCCAAGTTTGGAGTCAATCTCCTCAAAGGGAGGCATATTCAACCCATTTGTCATGGTAGGTTTGCTCATGAGATCTAGGTTGGTGGCACTAATATTTGTTTATGAAACAAAATGAAGAACTCATTAGAGAGACATCTCCCACGGAGCCCAGAGGCATTGCATAGAGTTATAAGTGTATTTCTCTTGCCAATTTAATCTGTTTTGCAATAAATCACATGCATGCAGATTAAATAAGCCAATCTTGAGCAAATCTGTATCTGGCTGAGATACACAGCAGTCCTTGCATTAGCCTCTTTTGGCACCAATGGATTTGGACAACTTCTCCTGAATGAGCGATTGATGAATTCAAGTTGTTGTTAAAGAAGGGCAGAAGAGTCAGCAACACATTTAAGCAATGAAACAGTCTGCCATGTACTTAGCATCTGAATTTTACTTACACTTTCAGAAAACATAATGTACTATTCAAGTGATAGTCTCATCATGAAATAGACTGGAACAAACATTTATAAAGCACCTATTATGTACCAGACACTGTGTTATGCACTTTGCAAATATCTCACTCCATAGACCATTTAAAGTCATGATTAGCGGTATAAACAAATTGATCAAGCCTTTCAGTAATTATTTTAGCATAGGTCTCTGGTATACTGTCAGTTTGCACTGATACCGTAATTCCCTTTTAACATGTTAGCTGTGTAGGTCTTTTCTTTTGATAGCATCACTCCTTTTAAGGAAATACTGGCTGTCATATACAGATCTATTGCAAAAGAAGTCAAGGAAAGCAAAAACTATCAATGAATAAGTGTTGTACTTTAGATGGCTTTCTGTTACTCCCAACGAATTATCCAGTCTACAACTGACCCTCATTTTTATTGTTGAGTCGTTTCAGTCATGTCTGATTCTTCTTGACCCCCTTTGGGGTTTTCTTGGCAAAGACACTGGAGTGGTTTGCTATTTCCTTCTCCAGCTCCTTTTATAGATGAGGAACTGAGGCAAACAGGTGTAAGTGACTTGCCCAGGGTCACACAGCTAGTAAGTGCCTTAGGTCAGATTTGAACTCTGGTCTTCCTGACTCCAGGCCTAATGCTCTATCCACTGCACCATCTAGCTTGCCTGTCACTGACCCTTACTACCTCAGCATATGGATCCCCTGTGTGTCTGTTTCTGTCTCTCTTTGTCCCTCTCTGACTTTGGCAGTCAAACTCTGATTTACTCGTTGTTTGCTTTATCCTATTGGAAACACATTCTTTCCTCCAGGTTCATATTCATCCTCTTCTCCCAGTCTTCATAGGGGAAACAGTTTGGAACAAGATCTTTGGTGCAGTATTAGAGTACTGAGAGTGTCAGAGGATCTGGATTTGAATCCCACCACTGAATCTGCTATCTGTGTGCCCTGGTCACTTAAGTGACAAGTGACAAGTCAAAATTTCCTGGTGCCTTTCTTGATCTGTAAGATGAAAGAATTGCGCTCAAGGCAGCATACAGTGGAAAAGGCATGGGATTTGGAGTCAGAGGACCTAGATTCACAACTTAGCTCTGCCACTTACTATCTATGTGACCTTTGGTAAGTCACTTACATTTTTCTGGGCCTCTGTTTCTCCATCTGTAAAATGAAGGTTCCTTCCAGCTCCAAATCTATCAAACCATGAGTTCTTCCAGGTCTAGATTTATGATACTCCTATTCTGGCATCCTTTAGAGACTCTGCCCCATTCTTCCAGAGACGGGGGGGGGGAGAGAGAGAAAGAGAGAGAGAGAGAGAGAGAGAAGAGAGAGAGAGAGAGAGAGAGAGAGAGAGAGAGAGAGCCCTGAACATTATACAATGTCAGGATCATTGAAGACAGAATTACAGAGTTTCAGAGCTGATGTCTCTATGACAGCAAGAAGTCACACAGTTACTTTTTACCTGTGAAGGTGGAATGATAGATTCTACTTGTAATCAAAAAGCATAGCCAAGTTTTATTTAAAAAGCAAAAGCCCAGTGTCACAGAGGAGAGGCAGTTGAACATCTCAAATGGGTCTCCTCTGAATGTGTTACTTTATAAAGTTTGGCATGAGCTCTCATAAAGTAAGGAAGGAAACAAACATTTATTAAGTGCCTGCTGTGTGCCAGCACTTTGCAAATATTATCTCATCTGAGCCTCACAGCAACCCTAAGAGGTAGGTGCAATTATTATCCCCACTTTACAATTTGAGAAAACTGAGACAGGCAGAAGTTAAGTGACTTGCCCAGAAAAATATAGCTAATAAGCCTCTGAAGCCAGATTTGAACTCAGTCTTCCTGACTCCAAGGCTTATTGCTGTATTCACTATGCTTCTCATATGTTACAAAGGCTATATGTTACCCTAAAATTATAATTGGAGTTGCAGTAACCATTTCAACTGGCTAAGTGTAGAAGGGGAAAAACTGAAAAAAAAAGTGTGGGGAATTAATAGAGCAAAGGGAGAAATATCAGTGTTTATAACCCATAGTATTTCAACCAAGGGAGTTTAAATACCCTGCCAAACCAGTGACTAATTTGCTTCAAAGTAATTTAAATTACATTATCATTCTTATTATGTTCACAACTTTGCTCCTTGCATGTTGAATAAGTACTCTATAGAAGATGTATTGGAACATATGACTAAGAATATAATGGTACGGGAAAGCCCAAAGTGGTTGTGCTCTGCATCAGTAGACAGATTATTGACAGATAAAATCACAGATGATAATTACCCCTCATCTCTGCCTTAAAGTTTATGAAATATTTCCCTGAAAATAGTTTCATGATCAGTACAAATATTATCCCTATTTTACAGATGTGAGGGAACTGTCACTCAGAGATATTTAGTTAATTGTCCCTGGCTGGTAAAGGTTGGAGCCTTTCTCTTTACTGGGGGTCAACTGATTGTTGTACTTTACCAAATTGCTCCCCACCAAAATACAAAGTATAAAAGTAGCAAATTAATACTGAAGTAATGCTATAGAGACTATACAGCACTTTCCTCATAACTCAGTGAAGTAATTAATGGCAATATTATCTCTACACTGCAAAGGAGAAAACTGAGATTTAGAGGAACTAAATTACTTACCTAGTCACAGCTAATAACTATTGAAGAGGACATCTCCATCTAGATCTTTTGAGAGGTCTTTACACTACTAGAATTAGCTACACCATCCCCACCGAAGCATCATTCTCTGACAGTGATGCATAGTAATCTACTATCCTGAAAACTGTACCCACTCCTCTATGAGTGGCTGAGCCAACCCTGATTGCAACTATTTTGCTTGCTTTTAAACCATGCCTGGGAGGGTCACTGTTAGGCTTTGCTAAAACTGTAATCAGCTCAGAGGGTACTGAACAGTCCTTTGCTTATAAATCAAACACCACTTTTGCAGCTAAGCATAAGTTCAAAGATTATCTCTGACAGTTCTGAAATGTTTTCTTTACTGCAGATCTTAATTATGCAAATACAATAGGACATGAACGATAAACAAGCTGCTCCCTTAAGTTTTATTTTTAAAGTCTTCAGGGCAGATAAAATGAGCAGCCTCATCATATTCTATGCTTTTCTTCTCAGAAGTGCTTCTGGAGGCATGAATGCCAAAGATGATGAACTGAGAAAGTATGCGCAGATAGAACATTGGATGAGGGGGCCAGATTTGTTATTGATGTGATCCTGTCACCTCTGGCCTTGGTTTACGATGAGATTTATCTTCCTGCAAGAGACATACACAAATATCACATTCCTTTATGATTAAAATGTTATACAACAATAATAGAATTCCATGGGGCCTAGTTAGCTTGGGACAATTACTGTTTTGGGGAGAATTAATGGCACCCAGCTCTGTACTTAATACTGAAGGGATGTAATTATCCCATGATAACCCTGTGCACTTTGTTCTAAGAAAGTCTCTCATCTCCTTCACATTTTCTGGACTTCAATTTCCCATGAAATCTTTATGCGCTTAGGAACACTTTAGAACTCACTGAGACACTGAAAATTAGAGGGGATGAATTCAAAACCACCACTATTTTACCTACTTTTTTGGAAATAAAAAATAAATTCTGACATCTGGTGAGTCGGATGCTTCCCCTTGGATCCCAAGGAACAAAGTTTTATTTTCTCATCATGAAAGGGAAGGGTCTCCATTGGTGGCCTTACTTATTTACACCACACACATGGCAATCGTTTTGACATTCTGTTCCCTTACTATAAACAGAAAGGATGGTCTTTTTTTTTTCCCCCTGTGGAAGTTAATGAATTGAAAAACAAAGCTGTTCTGTATACCCACTCAGTCCAAATACATAAAAGAACTACAGTACTCTAGGACTGGGGTAAAGTTGCTGCATTCAAATTAATTTTCCCCCTTCCACTTTCCCTCCCTCTGCTCCCCACCACCATTTTTTTTAGGAGAAGAAAAAGACCTATTGAATCACCATATAAGGACAGGGAGCATGAGAGAAGAGTGCAAAAGTCAGAAGACCAAGGACTTATTCTTGGCTTAGATAGTGGCTCACTGTGTGATCCTGGGCATGTCTCTTAACCTCCCTGTGCCTCTGTTTATCCAGCTGTACCATGGGGATAATGACACTTGTGTGATGGGGTGGGGATATTTTGGTGAATAGTGCAAAACTGAATGGGAGAGAGGGGCATTTCTCTATTCCTGCTTTGTTTTCATTTAGAAATTGCTGCTTGTTCAGGAATTGGAAAATAAATTGGTGGTAATTATTAGGAGTAAAGAGATACTTTTTTAAAAAAATGCATTGTGGGAGTTTCCTGACCTCCTGGAGTTCAGATATCCTGGGAGGGGGGAGAAACTCTTCCTCGTGGTTCCCCAATTCAATTGAAACAGAAAAAGCTGTATTCTTGAAGTTCCATTCATTGTTTAAAAGGGTTTCTTCTTAGGAAAATGTGGTATAGTTGAGTGTTGGACTAAGTGTCAAAAAGACCTGATTTTGAATCCTGCCTCAGACACTTAGTAGTCATGTGACCCTGGACAAGTCACTTAATCTTTGTTAGCCTCAGTTCCCTCATCTGTCAAATGTGGATAATAATAGCACCTGCCTCATAGGGTCATTGGGAGGATCAAATGAAATAACATATGTAATGCATCGGACAAACCTTAAAGCACCATGTAATTATTGACTATTACTATGCCTCTTAGAATGCTGACCTTCTAATTGAGCTTTCTGCGGTATATCCAAGGAAGAGTGTGATCAATAAATAGTCTTTTCCAGTTCCAGCCCATTAGGATCAGAACAATAACTAGGAATATTTTCACCTGAAAGTAAAATGTTTGTGGGATGCAACAGGGGATGAGCCCAGGCATAGTAGTGCTGGGAATTGGGTCAGTTTCTCTTCAGTGATTGAGAGGACGGTGAGCCCAAGAGGAGGATAACACTATAATGGATGACTCTGGGTGGTGGTTGTACCACACAGCTTAGAACAGTGTGGAATACTACAAGGAGAGGAAGTAGATGAGAGATTATGGCAGGAAGGGCTCCTCTAAGAGAGGAAACCTTTCTTGCCTTGTTCTGCACTCCTAGAAGAAGAAGCAATAGGATGTACGTTCCTTGGGGGAAAGTTTTATTTACTCCTTTTGTTCCGGGTCTGGGAGGTCTGTCTGTCTGTCTGTCTGTCTCTCTCAAGTTTAATTTGTATTGATATCTTTTGTCATTGCATCACTTTCATTTCCTGGTATGATCCCTCTCCTCTGTTTCAAGAGAGCCATCCCTTAAAATAAAAGAATTTAAAAAGAGGAAAAAATAGTTCCGCAAAAAAAAAAAAAACCACACACACATGAAAAACCCCAATATACTGTCTGTTCCAGTGTTTTACACTCATAGTTTCCCACCTAGATATGAGAAATGTGTTCTTATATCTTTTTTTGAATGTCCAAACTTGATTTTGTTTTTCAATGTTGTCCTTTACATTTCCAATGCTAATAGTCACCGCGTACATTGTTTTCCTGGTTATGATTACTTTGTTTTGCATCAGTTCATTCTCCTTCCTATACTTCTTGATATTCTTCACATTCAACATTTCTTACAGCTCAGTAATATTGTGTTATATTATATTATATTATATTTACATACCACAATTTGTATAGCCATCTTCCAATTGATGGGTACCTACTTTGTTTCCCATTCTTAGCTACTTCAAAAAGAGCTGCTATGAATATTTTGGTGTATATGGGACCTTTCTTTTTAACACTTCCTTGGTGTCTATAGCCTAGTAGTGTTATCTCTGGGTCAAAATACGGACATTTTAGCAGATTTATTATCACAGTACTAAATTCCTTTACAGATCTATCAGACCAATCCATCGTTTCACCAATAGTATATTAGTATGCTTTTCTTTCCAAATTGACTATTCTCATCATTTACCATCTTTTCCCATTTGCTAGGTTTCATCTGAGAATTGTTTTGATTTGTGTTTCTTTTGTTATTGTGGCTACCTGCAGCCCTCTTTTATACAATCACTCAGTCAATGAGCGTTTGTTTTATTTTATTTTATTTTTCTTTTAAAATAAATTTATTTCATTAAATATTTCCCAATTACATATAAAAAATTTAACAATCATTTAAAAAATTGAGTTCTTAATTTTCTTCCTACCTCCTTCCCCTCCTTCCTCCTTGGGAAGAAAAGCATTTTGATATGGATTATACATGTGAAGTCATGCAAACAATATTTCATATTAGACCCCAAAACAAGACAAAACCCTCCACGAAAATAAAGAAACTTAAAAAAAAGATATGATTCAATCAGCATTCAGAGTTCATCAGTCTTCTCCACGGAGCTTGATACCATTTTTCATCATGGGTCCTTTGGAATTGTCTTGTATCATTGTCTTGATCAGAACAGCTAAGTCTTTCACAGTGGTTTATCCTTACAGCATTGCTATTACTGTGTACAATGTTCTCCTGGTTCTGATCACTTCATTTTGCATGAGTTCATATAAGTCTTCCCCAGTTTTTCTGAAACCATACTGCTCAAAATTTCTTATAACACAATAGTATTCCACCACTATCATACCATAGGTTGTTCATCCATTCCCCAATCAATGGCTATCCCTTTGATTTCTAATTTTTTTGCCACCGCAAAAAGAGCTGCTACAAATATTTTTGTACAAATTGGTCCTTTTCCCTTTTCTTTCATCTCTCTGGGATATAGATATAGCAGTGACATTGCTGGGTCAAAAGGTATGCATAGTTTTATAGCTCATTATGGTTCCTAATTGTTCTCCAGAATCCATCCTTGTCTATGGATGAGGTGAATGTAGGAGTATGATTTTTGGTAACTGAGGATCTAAAGGCTAGGAAGTTTGAGGAACATTCACACGAATGTTGAAATCCCATTGCATACAGGAAAGCGTTTAGGAGGATGGGAAGGTAAAATGAGCCAGATGCTGAACACCTTGAGAAAGGAAGGAGAGTGACCTAGGGTCTGGTGCACAATAGCTACTATAATTTCAATTAGGGTAGAAATTTTAATGAAGTGAATTTCAAAGCATTAAGAGCTACTGAATGATGGCAAAGGGAGAATCTGTAAGTGGAAGTGGGGAGCAAACAATATTCCAACTTTTATTCCATATCCAATGTATTGAGAGTTATGAGTGATGGTATAACTCATGCTGGAAAGGATGGACAGGGATTTGCCTGAAGGAGCAAGCCTGAAGTTATCAGTGAGAGCAAGCAGATGAAAAGGGGAAGGAAGGAAAATGTTCAGTATGGTAAGAAGTCTCATTATGGTACAGAAATTCCAGAGGGCAATGAAAGAGGTGATCAGAGTTGGAATGGATCTTAGGTGGGGTAGGGTTGTGGATGATAGGAATGAGAGAAGGGGAGGCGAGGTCTGGAGATAGTTTGCTCCTAGGTAGTCAGTGATTAAGAAGACAGGGACAGAGAGTATAACAGGTAGTGATAGTTGGCTAGCATAGAGCTTTTAGTGGGTGGCAGATGAATTATAATGATCACAGTGTCTTAGGGTAAGTATTGCTAAACAGGGACCAGTATCAAAGTCTCATTTTTTTTTATCCTAAACCATCCTCCTGTCACCAAAACAAAACAAAACAAAAAACTTTTCAATTTAGCAGGACAGAAATTATTATTATTATTGTTATCTTAAAGATAAATTAACAAAGGCAGAGTAAAAGAAAGCAACTTACCCAAGGTTACAGAGCTATATAATAACAGAGATTAGAACCCAAGTTTTTTAATTTCCTAGCCTAGTGTCTAGTCCAATATGTTATTCTCCCTCTTGTTCACCAAAGAATAACTTGGTTCAGTTATTTCATTATATTTCTAAGACGGGATAATGAATTGGGAGCTCTCAAAGACTGTTTACTAATTTATAGAGAGGGAGCAATTTGTGCAAATGAGGGAGTGTTCACACTGATGAAATTAGAGATCTGTGAAGAATGAATGGGCTTTTTGTATTGGACCAGTTAGGGAAACAATGTGTGGTTCAGGAGGGGAAAGGGAATAAGCATTCATATAATGCCTGCTATGTGCCAAGCCCTGTGCAAAGCACTTTTTACAAATATTATCTCATTTGATCTTCAGAACAACCCTGCAAAGGTAGGTGCTATTATCATCTCCATTTTTCAGTTGGGGAAACTGAGGCAAACAGAAGTTAAGTGGATTTCCCATGGTCACACAGCTGGTAAGTGACTGAGGCCAGATTCAAACTCAGGTCATCTTGATTCTAGGCCCAGAGTCCTCTATACCACCAGATACCTGTGAAGGGAACTACGTTATTTAAATCAAGAATGTCTTACCAACCTCACTGCCTCATCATGATGTGAAAATGCTCCTGGGTGATTGAAGGCCCAGAACAATAATTCTGGCAGATTTTATCAATTGAAAAGGCAATGAGCATGGGTCTAGCAATGGATTCTGTATCTATTGTCTAGGGGCATTCCCAGCTAAATTTGGAGAGGTTTGTTACTAATATGGCTTCAGGTTGATGAATTACACACCTTCAGATGCTCTCAAGGACATCTACTAAGTTACAGAGGTGCTGCCATCTGCACTGGTTGAGGGAGTGTCCATATGGATGAAATTACAGCTCTGTGACCTACTGGCCTTTTGACATATGACTTACTAGACCAACCATGTAAATAAGCAATTGTCATTTGTTCTAAATGAGAAACAACTAGTAAAGATCTTATTTCCTGACTTTAATTGACTCCAAACAATTCTTTGGAGGTTTAGGTGGCTTTTAAAAGTTTATAGCTATTTAGATGAAGGTCAGCATTAGAATGAATATTCATCCTTATCAAGTATAGATCTCCTCTTTCCCTCAAGGGAAAACCTTCCCTTGATTCTGCCACCACCTCAAGCTATAATTTTATTTCTTTCCTCTCTTTCCCTGTCAAATTTCTGAAAAGAGTATCTATATTCTCTGCCCCTACTTGCTCACTCCTCCCCAACCCTTAGCAATCTGATTTCTTTTCCTATCAGCCTTTGGAAATTCCTCTCTCTGTAGTCACCTGTGACAGTATTGAGAAGTCCTTTTTTCCATCCTCATTTACTGTGTCTTTTCTGTGTTATTTGACACTGTGGACCAACATTTTCTTCTTGGCTCCTGTGGCACTGTACTCTTGTGTACTTTTATGGCTAGTTGAGGGTTTATGGCAAAGACACAAAGATTTTCTGGTTCCTCATCTTTCTTTGGCCATTTAAACATAGCTTCACCCCCTAAGATTCTGTCCCAGTCCCTCTTTACTCCTCTTCCTATGCTTTCTATTCTGATGTTCTCATCCACTCTCACGGCCTGTTTGCTGATGAATCTCAGATTCATATCCCAATCCCCAGTCTCTCCCCAGAACTCAAGTTCAGTCATTTCCATTCAAGGAATATTTTCACATCTAACCCTTCTTTATAGTTACTCCAACTACACTAAATTGAGCCTTCATCTCTTTTTATCTACTGTATTCAAGTAGCCTCCTAATTGGTCTTCCTCATTCACTAGAATGACTATGCCACTTCTCTACTCTTCTCTCTGCTTTCCAAATAAAATGTAAACTATAGATCCTTGGACTCTAAGACATCACAATCTGCACCAACCTGCCTCTATGACTTGATCTCATACAATTCCCTTTCCTTATCTTTTATATTTCAACTCCTTTCCATCTTCTGTTTTCAGCCTGTCCCTTAATCATTTCCAAGCCTTTGTTAATACCATTCCCCATAATTGGAATAAGTCTCTTCTTTATCCGTCTCTTGGTATTTGCCCCTTCCTTAGAGCTCCAGCTCAGATATAACTTCCCTCATGACATGTACTTGCAATGGACACCAATGACCTTCCCCTCCTCTCCAAATGAAAGTTATTTCTCTTTCCTCAAATTTCATCTAGATCTCTCCTTTGCACTTATCTCATTCTCTTTAGTAAGTTAATTATTACACACATACCCTTCTCCTCCATTAAACTGTTAGTTCCCTGAAGGCATAGTATTGAGAGGTAGAAGGGACCTTATACATCATTTATGAGAGATCAATTGACTTACTATGCTAAGGTAAACTAATAAATAAAGCTAGAATTTGAACAGTTCTCTGACTTCAAATCTAATGTCCTTTCTTTTTTTTTTTTTTTGGCTAGGCAATGGGGTTAAGTGACTTGCCCCAGGGTCACACAGCTAGAAAGTGTTATGTGTCCAAGGCCGGATTTGAACTCAGGTCCTCCTGAATCCAGGGCTGATGCTTTATCCACTGCTAGCTGCCCCTCCTTTCTAATACACTAAACTGTCTGTCTTATGATCCTATGTTTCTATCTGTAGCATGTGGCATAGTGCCTTGTACATTTGTGAAGGAACCGTGATTTTTTTTTTCAGATCAAGGAACTTTTTTTTGGGGGGGGTGAGGCAGTTGGGGTTAAGTGACTTGCCCAGGGTCACACAGCTAGTAAGTATCATGTGTTTGAGAACAGATTTGAACTCAGGTCTTCCTGGCTCCAGGGTCAGTGCTCTATCCACTGCACCATCTAGCTGCCCCCATCAGGGAACTTCTGATGTGGATTTTCCCTCCACCAATGCAAATTGCAAATCATCCACGACTTAGTAAATAAGTCCGAGGGATTTGTCTGAAGAATTCAGGTTTTATTCCCAGATAGAGTGCTCTGCTGATTTAATAATGACAAAAGTTAGAGATGTTCCATATTGTGTTGTACCAAATTATAACTGATCCCAAATACAATAGCAGTAAGTAGATGGTGCTACCCAAGCCATGTTGCTCTAGGGCCAAGACAGGCCAATAGACGACATCTGAGCTAGCAGGAAATAGATTTTATTAGATCAATGTGTCATCAATGTGTCTATGTAGAGTGTGAAATGTGTTTGAAGGAAAGCGCTATAACCTTTGTAGCTAGTAAGCATTGACTTTCCGTCTCTTGAAAGAGACAGTAAGTTGTGCACATTGATGCCCTCAGAGAAGTTAACCAAGTCTTTCTTGATCCCAGGCAGACATCTCTGTGACAGGAAACATCAAGGGAGCTGAACTCAGAGGTAATCCATTTGTAATCAAAATACCTCATCTTTAGAGACAACTAGAGAAGAGAGAAAACACTTGCAAAGCATGGAGATAGTAATAAATAAGAATATCCATAAACACAAAGCCTGTGGATATTGATAGTTGACCTATGCAATCTGCAAGCTCAAAAGCCACCATAGAAGTTCCAGGTCAGTGACCAAGCCTACCATGTTAAATGATGATGTTTATGATGTAGGTTCATATATATTTATGTGTATTCTATACATTTGCAAGGGACTGCAGATGTTTCACAGGGGAGGGGATACAATGTCTCCTCACATTGTCTACTCTCCTCTCTTACAGATGACTGGTAGCTGGCAGGGACCTCTGACTAATTCTGGCTTGAGCTAGCCCATCTGAGGAGCGGAGGGAAGCTCAGTGTCATCATTGTTGGACCTGGAATCTCTCTCCAGTCAAATATCCACTTCTCTGGTAAACAGGTTAGTGGAGGGAGTAGACAGAATGAAAATATCTCCAGCCATTTAATAAATGTTTTTGAATGAGTGAATAAGGAGGTTGGGTAGGGTGAAGATATTGAGGAGTATAATATCGTGTTTATGAAATATAAAATTGATCAAATAAATATAAGTGGTGGGCTTATAGGTAATTTGGAAGTAATTTCATAGGCTATTTTAATACCACCTGGAAATCAAAAAAACATCTGGTTTTTAAAAAAAGACGATCTGAAACCTTTTGACAACTAATGAGCTAAAATTTTCTGTATGTGCAGTTGTAAAGAAAACAAAATTTTAAAAGACAAACACAAAAGTTTTTGTTTTACTGGAAAACTGTTATTTTGCTGGGAAGAAAAAGTATGTTTAAAAACTTACCCTTCCCCCTTCACCCTCAAAGCCCTGTTCTTTCATCACAATAGTATGCTATGTGGGTGAAGACACAGCTTAGTTGACAAAGAAGGCCTCTGAATTAGGAGAGTTTGTGTTGTGAATCTCGCTAAAGCTTTGTCAATGATCACCCACATCCACATTGAAAGAAATCCATATTGGTAGAACCCTCTTTCTCCAACCCTCCACTTTTCACATTTATAGTAAGGATCATGCCAAACCTTGAAGTGTGAGCAGCTGGTATTCTACTCTTATGTGGTTATTCTTGTTAACTGCTTTCTCTGCCAGTGGTCTTTTCTTGCTGGAAATTAAAAGCTTTGTCATTATGCTTTCCCACATTTCTAAAGATGGCCTTCATGGAAACTGGAAGAGAGGACAGCAGAAAATAGAAAAGATCAAGTCGGTGAATTCAGTTTGGGAATTTCAATTTCCAGGCAAAAACAACATATTTGAACAGGTTATAGACTTGAGTTTAAGTTACTTATTTTAGTAGATTTGCAATCAGATTCAATCAAAGAGCATATGCATAAATGTGTATGTGTGCATGCATGTGTATGTACATATATACACGTATTCAAAGATTAAAATGATTATGTGTTTTAATTTTACCAGCTCCTACATTCAGACAGTTTGATTGTTATTTTCCTTAAATCTAATTATGAGTGGGGCTGAATAATTTCTAGAAAAACAGGGAAGTTTGGTGGAGTTTGTAGAATTTGCTGGAATCCTTCAGATACCTAGAGGCTCAAGACAAAAGTTGATGTTGTTATCCATGAAATTGGCCCCAAATCTATAGTTCTTTCTGTCTGCTCAATCCTCTTTATCACTTTGTAGTGATTCAGTACTATTGACTAGAGGGCATTTCAATGCTTTTATTGATGGCTGACATAAATGCTAGTTACTCTAGCTTTTGGTCATTGTTCTAGAAGTAAGATCTTGCTATCATCCACAGTAAATTAAAATCATATCTTCCCTTTGGACTGGCAGTTTAAAATTGACATGCTGTAATTAATATAATGTGATTTTGAGGTATTTTGATTGAAATACTCCTGTTTTGTTGAAATACTTATTTCATGAAAATGTTACTCAAAAGGCTTTAGCTGTAATCATTAGAAAAAAAAAACCAAAGATACAAGGAGTAGAATATGTTTATAAACATACCAAATTTATATTAGTTCCTAGAGATGGAGCTAGAAATATTTTTCCCCTGGGGCAAAAACAGTTGAGGTATAGTGGGTACAGGGTCCCAGAAGATTATTCTGAAGTAGAGAGTGATTGAGGGAGTGTAGAGGATACAGATGCAGTCACATTGGAAGAGAGGGCAACCTATGCCCCAACAAGATAGCGACAGGAGAGGGATGCCATAGCTACTAGACTCCTGAGGGTAATGGCTTGTATCTTAGTAAATAAATGGTCTTCAGACCACAAAACAAGGTGCAGGACAGATTGTTTGAGATGGGGGTGGAAGTTGAAAGGAGAGCACACTATAGACATCATTGTCCTAGAGAAAAGCCCCATTTGTCCCATGATAGTTATGGCCTTGTAAAGTTCCTAGATCTTCAAAAATTTACTGTAACCCTCAAACTGTCACTTAATTTCTCTGTGCCTCACTTTTCTTATTTATAAAATTAAAGGACATTGAAGAAGGGGTGGTCTTTGCTGAGCCCTTTACCACCAGCCTGTCCCCAGTTCCTTTGCAAAAACATGCGAACTACTTTGATGAGGAAAGTAACTTTTTGGAGACCTGTTCCATCAGACCAACATTACAAATAGGATCTTATAGCTTCACAAAGTATTTAAACTACAAGAGAAATCATATAGCATCTAGTTCAATACCCTTATTTTAGAGATCAGAAATCTCATACCTAGAGGTATCCAAAGTCACATAGGCACTGGAAGGGCTATGATGAAGTGAGGATTTGAACACTGTTCTTGCCCCACACCGTGGCTCTGATGGCTCCTCCAATAACTGAAGTGGACGATGTTCCTCCAGACCATCTGAGCTCTTCATCCTTGTTATTCTTGTTAATTAAAACCAGACTTTCCCTAGAAATAACCACCGTCTTCAACACCTGCTTCCAATAGGATCCACTCCTTTTACTCCCTGTTCCAGTGTCCAAAAAAATTTTAGTGAAGTTTTTTTAAAACTTTTTTTAAACTTTCCTAATGAAGCTTTAATGGCTTAAAACTTAACTTCACTGACATTTAAATTATTAAATTACATACAGGCTAATAAAGACTTAAACTTCACTAAAACTCTAGGGATATTCTGTAGTTATTACCAAAAAGACAATATTCCATTAAGACCCTTCTTACACAAGTATCCCTCTTCTCTTTTGAAGTCTGCATGGCCTATGTATCCCACCTTCTAACCTATCCTCATGGCTGTTGTCTGTTTGCTTCTAGGATTATCTTCTATTTTTATTCAGTGTCTTTAAGCACTTATCTCACAGTTCTCTCTTATCACCGCTTTCTCCATCATCATTCTAAGTGATGTAAAAATCCAACTTTGTATGAATGATCCATAAAATATTTGTGAAAGATTTAATAAATAGAAAATGTAGCCCTTGGTGGTGGTTTTTCATTGAACCAAAAATTTAATCTAAACCAAAGAAGTTGAGAGTGTGAGAGAGAAATATAAAATCGTATATTTAGGTTAAAGGGGCAGCTAGGTGGTACAGCGGATAGAGCACCCGGCCTAGAGTCATGAAGACTCCTCTACCTGAGTTCAAATCTGGCCTCAGTCACTTACTAGCTGACCCTTGATGAGTCACTTAGCCCTGTTTGCCTCCACTTCCTCATCTATAAAATAAGCTGGAGACGGAAATGTCCAAACACTTTAGTATCTTTGCCAAGAAAACCCCAAATGGGGTCGTGAGCTTTCAGACACAACTGAAAAATGACAGAACAGCAACATTTAGGTTAATAAAAAAAATCAGTTGTATGATTTGGGGGTTCCATGCTTGGCCCCAGTTTATGTGGAAAAACCCTGCATATTTTAATTGATCACAAAGTTAATATGCCAAGAGAGTGCACAGTTACTAAAAATAAAAACAAAAATACCACTATAACCATGAATTACCTTAATTAAATTTTCATATCCAAATCCTGGGAAGAAATGATTCACTGCACTCTAAATTCTCAGAACACATATGGCAGATCGTGTTAAATTATCTTTGCCATGTTTTCAAAAGGTCATCAATAAACTAAAGAATGACAAAATTGGGCAACATGATCATGAGAGGTATGGAAACTTTATTGTATAAGTAATGATTTAAAGGAATAGGGATATTTAGATAATAATAAATAGTAAGAGATGTCACAGGTATCTTCAAATATTTTATTTCAACCCTATCGACTACGCATAAGACACTGCTAATTGCTAGGGATACAAAAGAAAAAAACCAACAATAGTCCTTTGCCTTCAGAGAACTTACATTTTAACGAGGATTACAATATCTGCAGAGATGAGTAGATTCACATTTTGTACAAAGTATTTGTATCAAAAGACAGAAGAAAACTTTGATCAAGTCATCTCACTCTCTGGGCTTCAATTCCTTTATGTATAAATTGAAGGACTTGGACTATATGATTCCTAAGATTGTTCTAAATCTGAGCTCCTACACTCTAACAAAAATGACTTATTCTGTATAGCTAGAGAAATCAAAACCTAAATAATGGTAAAAAAAAAATCTGTTCAATGTAAGAAAGAACTTTTTTTTTTTTGGCTAGGCATAGGGTTAAATGACTTGCCCAGGGTCACACAGCTAGTAAGTGTTATGTGTCTGAGGCCGGATTTGAACTCAGGTCCTCCTGACTCCAGGGTCAGTGCACCACCTAGCAGCCCCTAAGAAAGAACTTTCTAACTCACAGAGATGCCCAACAGTGGAGTGTACTAACTCTGACAGTGTACTCTCCATCAGTGTGAGTATTCAGGAAAAAAACCAAATGACTAAATGTAAAGAATGATGTAAAAAGTATTTATTTTATTATATATTTTTATTTATAGATGTCTATAATATATTATAATATATGACATACTAAATATGTTATGATATATTTATTATATGTACATTATAGTGCTAGAGGTGGGTCTGGACCGCCTTTAAGGTACTTTCTTGCTCTATGTTCCATGGTGCTGCCAGGAAACATAAAAGGCAGCTTCTCAGGAGAAAAACCAGAGACCAATTGGTGACATAACTGAGTCAAAGTGCCTTAGTTTCACTTATTGGACTTTGTCCATTGTGGACAATGTCTAAGAACAACAAATGGGAGTTTTGGTGACTTAGCAAATTCATCTCAATGAAGAACTGAAACACAAAGAGCAGGAACTCCTAAAAACAGCCACTTCTGATCTTTTTGAAGTCATTATAATTTGGGTTTGCTCAACTATCATTAAAATTTTCAGCTTTTCCCAAAATTCCTCAAGAGTTCATGAAGTACGGGTGCTGGGATTGTTCAGTCATTGAGACTGTTCAATAAAGCAGAAGAAGCTGGGTGTATATGGGGGGAGGTGTTGCTGATTATTCTGAACTTTTAACCTTTCTTGACAATGTTTGCTGGACATTCTTTCCAGGCATACAATATAAAAAAAGTTTGATTGTATCTCCAGTTATACCCACACCTACAGGAAGCTGTGTGTGATGCCACATGCATTTCTACGTGATTGTGCCCAATGGATGCAACTCTCATGAAGGTCAACAACAAAAGATTACTTTCTAAACATTGTTTCTGCTATGCTAGTGCCTCAGAGGATGGAAGGCTAGACTTTAAGTCACGAAGACCTGGGTTCAAATTATACCTCTTGCCATTGGCTATGTGATAATGGGCAAGTTACTTAAACTCTAAGCTTCAGGCAAATCTTTGCCTCTCATATAATATCACCTAGATCCATTAGATTGTGAGGTTCTGAAGGGCAGAGACTCTCTTTTGCCTTTCTTTGTACCCTCAACACTTAGTACAGTGCCTGGCATATAATAAACAATTAATAAATGTTTATTGACTGACTAATCAAAGAAAAGGAAATCTAAGAGTTGGAGTATGGATATAGGGAAATGGAGCTACACAAATGGCAGCTCCACCCAAGCCATATCTTCCAAAGTCAAAAGAGATACAACAGTTAACAGACCTTTAAGAGCTCTAGGCTGTTCCTGTCACTGGTAAGTTCATGATGTATACCTGGAAAACTGTTAGGCTTAACATTTAATTCAAGTTTCTGTCGGCATAGGAATAATTCATAAATCAGTGCTTTAGTTTCACTTATTGGACTTTGTCCATTGTGGACAATGTCTAAGAACAACAAATGGGAGTTTTGGTGACTTAGCAAATACATCTCAATGAAGAACTGAAACACAAAGAGCAGGAACTCCTAAAAACAGCCACTTCTGATCTTTTTGAAGTCATTATAATTTGGGTTTGCTCAACTATCATTAAAATTTTCAGCTTTTCCCAAAATTCCTCAAGAGTTCATGAAGCACGGGTGCTGGGATTGTTCGGTCATTGAGACTGTTCAATAAAGCAGAAGAAGCTGGGTGTATGTGGGGGGAGGGTTGTTTCTGATTATTCTGAACTTTTAACCTTTCTTGGCAATGTTTGCTGGACAGCAAGCCATTCCAGCTGTAACTTGGACAGTACTTTACACAAACAGACAACACAGACTTGTTATCTCCGAAACTGGAGGCTTTTTACAATGTCTTCATATGTGGGCACTGGGCTAAAGGAGCTTGAGACCACCCACAGACACACACAGAGTGCATCTCCCATGGAGGTCCAGCTAATCACCCTCCATTTTCACCACCTGTTCAAAAGCTGTGTTATTAGATGTGAAGGAGCCAGTAAATAACAGTTTGTGAGCTTTAAATGGACAAGGCTATGTCAGAGAGCTGATAAACATTTGGAGGCCAACGATTCCTGCAGCAGCGGGCTTTGTCTTGTGCACCACACTCAATTGCTTTAAAGTATTGGTTTCAGGTTACAGGATGTCCAAATGATTGTTAGGGCTGGAGGGGGTCAGGGTGGGGCAGGAAGGGTGGCTATTGAGGTGATGTCTGTTATGGAATTGATTCAGTCAGGAGATAATGATAATTTCCTAGAATCTTTTGGGCCTTCTTTGGGCCCCCCTAAGCTGGGCTTTGAGAAGGAAAGGTGCAAGACTAAAAGAAACTCTGTAAACCATTTCATGGGCTTCGGGATCTCAATTTAGTGTTAAAATGCTGATCTAAGCCTTTACTATATTGGTGGCTCATTGAGCTGTTTAAAAGTGAGCCCCTTACATGCTCCATTAGTCTGTGTTCCCCCCCCCCCAGTAAACTAAGGTGGGGGTGGGAGTGATGGATTTAAGACTGACAATTGGCAGTTTGAGGAAATTCCTGACTGAATTGGGAGAGCTGGGGAAAGAACAAAAGGAGTGTTTATGTAAAACAATATGGTTGCAAATCAACCACCTTATTACCTTGTGTTGCCAGCTATTGGATTAAAGCTAAAAGGGAATTCCGGAAATGAAAATGATGGGGTTGGCTCAGGAGGGCCTAGGACATTTAAATGACAAAAGTGACACAGTTTCTTTCCTATAGGGAACTGCAGAAAACCATCCAAAGTTCAGGTTGTAGTACTACAGGATTTCTGCCTTTCATGTTCCAAAGAGAAATCAAATTTCAGAATTCTTAACATTCTTGCTACTAGGATGATACTGGCTTATTGGTGCAATCTCACAAAAACAAAAGGTCTAGTTAATTACTGGCCTTGCACTGTGCTGTTAGTTATCATTGTGGACTAGTGGAAAGATTACTGGACTCCTCTGTTAGGTCTTACTCTGACATTAATTAACTGTGTGTCCTTGGACAAATTGATATCTAACATTCTTCCAGATCTAAAATCCAAGGTTTATCATTGCAGTCTTCAAATTTCTTAACCATTCAGGGCCTCAGTTTCCTCATCTTGAAAATGAGAATGCTGAATTAGGCAGTCTCTAAAGTTTCTTTTAGCTCTAAATTAAATTTTATTCAAATATTTTTAGGAAACATATATGAACAATCTGCCTTGTACAGAGTCCTATGTTAGATTGGGGGGGAGATTAGATTAAATGATGATAGTATCAGTAATTCA